ACTTACGAAATATACTAGATACCTCGCGAATGAAAACCATTTATTATGCAATTATAGAGTCTCGTCTCGTCTCGCCTCTGTAATTACATTAGTGTATTACAGAAAAAAGTTCTAAAAATCTTCCTCAGAAAACCAACACAATACTCATCGGAAACACTTTTCAAAGAATCAACTTTACTCAGACAACTTTACTTTCTAGGAACTGTTGTGGAACAACACAAAAAAAAAAAACAAAACTGAACTATGTACCTAGATCACAAGCATAATACAAGACTCAATAGATGTATAGAAATTCTATCTGGTTCTGAAATGAAACATTTGACATCTTTTTTGAATGAAATAGTTTTCGGTGTAAGTCTGGTTTTCAGAGGTAAGTGATTGTAGAGCTGGTTTGCAAGATGAATATAATATGTTCTCTGAACGATTGTTTTTGTTGAGCATGTCGTGTTCAGTAGCGCATTGGTTTTAATTGATCCCTCGAATGCATGAAATGCAATTATTTGCCTTAACTATAATACTTACCCAGACAAGATGGGTTCATGCTCATATTCCTTATATTTCTGTATATTTTTTCTTATGCTCCTTCAACCGCATACATTACTTAAGTGTTACTTGAATGCTGCAAAAATGTGTTTATGTATACGAGTCAAATACACTAATCAATGTCACTGCTCCACTCTTTTTTATATTATAACCATAATAACCATAAGGCAATGCCTTAGGCGCACCAAGGACTCCAATAATCAGAATAACCATCTTGACAGACTGGTCTGGATAGAGTCTGCGAAGTTCGAAGAGAAAATATCGGTATTTTATCCGTTTCTCCTCCTCTTTTCAGACGATATCAGTCTCGACAGGAGCTGAAAACTCCACGACAAATATCGTCTTACTCTGGTGGTCGAGAAGGACTACATCAGGCTCATCAGCTTGTATGAGCCTGAGGGTGGGGAATGAATAGTTCCAATAAATTCGGAAATATATGAATATAGGCCGAGACCGCATATGCTGGATATGCTGATAGCAAGTGCATTGTGGTCTCAGGCGCCTCGCGGCAGGCTCTGCACTTCGTGTCAGGACCCTCTATACCCATCACGTGACTGCGGTAGACTAAGGTGTTGAAGACGCTATCCTGGCAAGCCATGATAAACCCCTCAGCTTCCGACTTCTGCCCACTCGACCTGAGGAAAGCAAAAGTCAGGCGCTTTGATGAGCCAAGGTCTCCAATGTTATTGGATACATTGGCTTATCAAACCCAATGAGCGCTATTTGAATCGGTACATTTATTCCAACGTAACATATGTCGAATAATTTCGTCAGCATAAAAATTGTGTACTCGGGATTCGACAAAGTCGACGAAGGCCGTTTTTGCCTGGTACCTATCGACGAAGGTTTAACCGGTTATCGAAGTGCTTGAAAAGATGGTAATCGTTGGCAGGAGGTGTGGGGATTAAGGTGAATGGCAGAACTTCGACGCTCAATTCGTTTAATTTTCGGACGGTGATTTGGGAGACGTGCGGAAGGGCGTTGTCGTGGAGCAAGATGGGTCCCCTTCTGTTGACTAGTGCTGGCTGCTGCTGACCCAATTTTCAGTACATTTTGTTGATTTCCCACAATAGGACTCTGCTGTGATGGTTTTGCACGGTTGCAGACAGTTACACTGACAATTTCTGTCTACCATTCAAATTGAGTAGCATCCACTTTTTGAACTTTTTGGATTTTCCAATACGTTTTAAACCATCAAAAAGCGCATGGAAGCTGACACCCAGCGCTTCCGCCATCTCACGCACCGTTGTGCGTACCAGGATCCTCAAATTTTCGTCCTTCTTCGAGGCTAAAATCTCCGGTACAAATTTTCGCAAAACAACGTCAAACAGTGCGTTCATTAACACTATCCTTGCCAAATGCCTGGTTCAATTTGAATTCAATTTTAAATTGACCGAAAATTGCTTAACGACATCATATAGGTAATGAGCTGAAAAAATGCTAACAATGAAAAAGAAAAGATGAAAAAAATTAACAGCATCAATCTATAGAGTAAATATCACTGGAGTTTCATTCCAACACCAAACCGTTATTTTTAACACCTAGACACGTGTATCGATCACCAAGTGATCATCTTCAAGAAGGAGATTAAACTAAATATACATACAATGTTACCCTTATTTATACTATAGATACCTTTGCTATATACCTTCGTCTTAATTGTCTTAATTTTACAATGTTGACTTATCTACTAGCCTTAAATTAATTTTACAATGTGGCCTTATGTAATAGTCAGGTAAATTTGATAATTAAAATATTATTTCAACAAGCGTTATTCATAACCATCGTTATTCATAATATTATCATGTTTACTTATTTCTACACTCTCGTAAGCATCTAGATACCTGTTGGTTTTAATTTGTCTAACTAATCTTAATGAACTAAAGTCTATGGAATGGTTTTGTAGCAAAATATAATGGGCGATTGCTGATTTTTCTGGTCTTCCATATTTTAGGTATGCTACGTGTTCCTTATCTCTTATTTTAATAGATCTTTAAGGCTGTTCATAATATTTTGCATCGCTGTCCTTACATTTCATTTCGTAAATTTATATACTTTTCCGAATTCTCGACTTTGTCCTTTGGATTTCCTAAAAGGCTCTGTAGTGTATGACTTGTTTAAAAAACCACTTTCATACCTAGTTTCTTGAAAATCTTTCCAAAGTTCTTCGTGTATTGGTGGTATGGCACTGAGATATATTTATATTGGTTTTCGTCGTTTCTAAAAGTCGCGATTTCGTTCATTCTTAACCTCAATTTTTTCTTCCTCATAATATCATCTACAATAGCCCTCGAGAATTCAATACTGACTGTTATTTCGTGTATTGTCCGTTTTTCTTTTGTGAACCTCTCATGTGTAAGATGAAAAGTGAAAAGATAATGCACTAGAAAATTCAGCCCAGGACGTTTGTGCTGTCCACGGTGATGTGAACTGTCAGGAATATACCTGTAAGTGCTTGTTTCCCTCCTAAATATATCGTATTCTAGCCTTTCACATGGGCACCTCAGCAAAGGTGCAAAAGTCAAAAGAAAGTCAAAACCTTTCATTCCCAGAAAGCAAAAGTTTTTACGAAATCGGTGAATTCTGTCAATTAATCTTGATCTTGTAGTTTTGAGTTTTTTCATGTATTACTTTTCTCTTCACTTTTCCGAAAATTATATGATGTGCCTACTTTAGCTTAGGTCTTGGTCACTCATACCCGTGCCTTTTCCATCATCAAAATTATTTAGAGGGTCTCAATCCCAGCGGTAAGGAATATCCACTGGTAGATCTTTTAACGTTTTAACATTTTTTTATAAGTAGTTCAATTATTGATGTCATTCCTGATGTCATGATCTTATTGATAAGGGTGCATCTGTAAGTAGAGTTGTTTACTTTGACACTTCTAGGTTTCCTGTTAAGGGTTTATTACGTTGGTTTTCCAGCTGGTAGATCTTGAGCTCGTTTTGAATTGTAAACATTCTCCAGTTTTAATTATTTCTCTGGTCTTAAAGTTATTGATGATATTTTCTCAAACGATTGACCAAAGACTCACTCTTGGTTATTGGGCTCTTGAGAAGGCAATGCACTAATTATTTCCAATAAATTGTTTCTAAATTTCCTTTTTTATGTTGGGTTAGGTTAGGTCTAAAGTGCGTGGGTCTATTCGACCCTCCACCGCAACCCGCAAGGGTTTATTGTGGCTCACACTTATTCGCACTCGACCAAATAAACCCAACTTCTTAACGAAGCCGATTAGTTTGTAAGGTTTGTGGTGTTTGAGGTCAGATGGTAAGAGTACGGCTCTGCCGAACTCTAAAAACCTAATTCGGTCCCCAGCGGGGCAGGCATAAAGTATGTGCTCTGCTATTTCATCATTTTCCAAACAGGGGTGACACACACTGTCTTCCGACAGTCCGAGTCTCTGCATATGATGATCCAAATGACAGTGACCTGTAAGAAGGCCTGTTAGACACCGTAGCTCATCCTTACTGTAGTCCAAACACTGTTTGGTATCAAGCTTCGAAGGGTGAATGAACGCTTTGGACTGAGCCGATCCTGGAAGATTCTGCCAGAAGTCCATAAATCTTCTTGGCATCCAGGTTTTCAATCTGTGTTTGGCATATCCTAAAGCGATGCTAATGATAGGTTCTGGTCCAATGAAGCTGCTTGCAGCACCCTCCTTTGCAAGGGAATCAGCAGCCTCATTGCCTTCCAGGCCAGGAGTCCAGACCAGAGACAAAATGTTTTGGCAATTTGCTACCAATTTAGACGTTGCTCGGTAGGAGCCAAGAGCTTCCAACGCTGCTTGGCACTCGAGAATATTTTTATTGACTTGTGTGTGAGGTTTGATTCTTTCAATCTCTCCGCATACAATTCAATAGCGTACATTTCCGCTTGAAATATAGTCGCACAGATTCCTAAGCAGCTTGATATCTCTGTCCTAGGTCCATCTGTGAACCAACAACTATCTGCTCTTAATATTTCCTTCTCTCGCAGAATTCAGTCCTCTCCACTCGGGAACAGTTCTTTATAAGGCAGTTCGTAGTTGACAGTTGAAAGCATAAAGTCAGAGATCAGAGTTTCCAGAATGCTGTGGCTTCCAGTGTCAACCAACATTCTGTTGCACTCTGCATTGAAATGATTTGTGCAATTAGCAATGTGAACAAGTCTATATGCAGTCCATCTAGCCTCTCTCACCAAAAAAATGTGGAGAGGAGGTAGATCTAGAAGAATCTCCTTGGCCGCTGACGGTGTGGTACTGATGGCACCACTGATGGCCAGACAAGCCTGTCTCTGTAAGGCAGTATCTTTTTTTATGTAACTATCAAGTGTACCTATCAATGTTAAGATCTTTTTTATTTGGGTGATAACGGTATTGACTACTCTCTTCGTGCTCAGAATAGTTCAATACTTATTTTCAGGAAATATATGGTTCAGTTAAAATAAAATAATCAATAATTTCAATTTTTTTACAGATAGAGAACTTTTCGAAAATCCACCACACATTTTCGCAATTGCGGATGCCTCCCACAAGGTTATGAAACAACAGGGACGAGACACTTGCATAGTAATAAGTGGAGAATCTGGATCCGGAAAAACCGAAGCTTCCAAAATTATTATGAAATACATTGCTGCTGTTACGAATCAAGGTGAGAAACACTCGGTATAATTTGGATATTAAACCTTATTTTTGCGAAATATATTGCAAAATAATTTTTTTGACTCAAATTACATGTCCAAATTTGATAGTTAGAAATTGGAACCTCTGGCGTAAAATGAATCTACTGATAACACTTTTCCCACGCCAGAACAAAAATACTGTCTCCCGACACGCGTTACGCTAATCAAATTAGCATCATCAGAAGATGAGTAAAACTAAATTCCACTGGTATAATAATGTTTTCATATGCATTTGGGCAAATCATTATGGTTCATCAAATTTATTCCTAGTATTTTGTTTTTGTTCCTAATGTTTACTACTACCTGATTGATACCTACTCTTTACTTGTTTTCTACTTATAATTACATTGAAGTGTAAACAAAAGGCTGTTGGGAATGGGACTTTTGTCGCCGTTTATAGATCTCATTCCACATTTTCGATTCCGAAGGCATCTGAAAACTTGGTGTCCTGCACCAGCTTCAACAATTTCAAGCATTTCTCACTTATTCTGTTGCCATTCTCTATGGCATGTTTGAGTGACACTAGACTTTTCTGGGCTATACAACTAAAGAAGTGTTCCTTGTAGCGAGCTACTATAGTCCGCTTAGTTTGTCCAACATGCTTTTCGTCACAATCTCCTCAGCTTATTTCGTAAATTCAAGATTTCGCTATACAATAACTTTTCAGGCGTTTTTACTCGGTAAAAAAATATGTGTAATAGCTATTTTCATAAACTATACCTCACGATTTGATCTCTACAAACTTTTTTGAAAAATATATCACGATATCTTTCGCTAACACAGTTACTTCATCAACAGTGATCTTCAAAAAGATGTGTCACATTTAATTTTTTTAATCTGTCAATTCCACTTCAAAATAAAGTATTCATATATAATTTCATTATCCCTAATTTCAATTTTTTGAGTTGACCCGTTAAAAAAATAAAAGGGAGGGAACTGAAGAAATGCACTGTATACATTAAACACCAGCAATAACTTTAATGTGACTTAAATTAAACGCATGAGCTGTAAATAATACTGTTTGTTGGTAACTAGGTGATTCGGCGTCACCTGACACGGCCACTTCACAGCAAATGCGATAACATGAAAGTAGTTTAACTCTTTGAGAGGTAAAAAATTTTACCAATTAAAACACCATAGTGGAGCAACAAAAAAGTATGCGTAACAAACATAAAGGTAACTTTTTTTCCAAAATTGCATCGATTGTTTTTGACTTATGGGATGGTACAAATAAGGTACCACCAAGCCATCCAGTAAGAAAAATTTTNTTTCATTTTTTTTGCGACTCTATGTGATATGAACCGAGTCCTGAATTTTTGATAAATATTCAAATTTGAATTCGAATAATCTTATCAATACTTGTACATGTGTAAATTGTGTATCAGTCCTATCTTTATTTTTTTTTTAATTTTCGAGAATTTCAGCGTTCAATCACAAGACGGTGATCAGAATCAGAATTGAAATGAGGTTGATAAATATATTATCAATTATAAGAGAGAAAAAAGTTTAAAATAAATAAGTTGACACTTGAAACTTTGTAGGTACTTATAAAATGATTTTGCAAAATATGATTTATTTTTAGTCAAAAAATGACGGACTCTTTGGGAATTGTCTAAATCATTTCTCAGATGGAAAAAGAAAGTACCAACATATAACAAAAACTCAAAATAACCGTAATGAGTTACATAGAATAATCCTTATTTACCACTATTTTTGTTATAGCAAATATTTCAGAACTGAGTCGTTTTAAATGTCCTACTTTAATAATAATATTCAACAATAACAGATGGCATTAGAAAACATTATTTTATGAACAAAGATGGTGCAGAAATGTTTTAAAATATAACTTTGAAATTATGATTTTCTTTCAGACCTTTTTTCTTAATTTCGAATAACGACATTCTCATTATATTTATTGATCATTTAACGTTGACCTGTGAATCTCTTCTCTCTATTTTCGAGGGAATTATTTTAATTATTGGTAAAACAATAATAATAAGAAACAATCAATATTTACTTGAATCTTGATTGTGACATATGCTTCGAAAAGTTTTGTCTACTTGCTACCAGAATTTTAAGTGACAAGGAAAAAAAAGTAATGCTTTTGCAGTTTATGTCTTTCGAAAAAAACTTGTTAAACAATGTGTACTTCAGTTTTTTTTCGTCGTCACTTGATTTGTTCATACTCCCAATTAAATAGAATGACATCAGACTGTCTATAAATCTGCAGTTTTGTAGGTGATCTCAACAAAACAGCAAGCAGATCTTATATTAGTCATTCATACTCTGAAAACATTGTTTGTATCTACTCCTTCAAAAACGAAAACAAATTTATTACTATCGGATTAGTGCATGGCGTGTTTTAATATATAAATAGATCGTTGTCAAAAATGTATCCTACAAATAAGCCGCCTACTACTATTCGAATTGGAATTAAATAATTTCTTACCTTCATAACATTTTTTGTCAATTAGACAGCACTGTTCTCTAGCACAAAATCATAATTGATAATCCGACTTGGCAGTGTTATCATCCCCTAGGCCGGCAAGTATTTATCTAGTTATACTCTTGCGCTCCGAAGAAACATGCGAAATAAAACGTTGGATGAATATCAATATCATTTTTGGTTGAACCAGAATTAACGTATCATCAGCATACATTGTGTAGTTAACTAAATTCTCAAAACCTCCACTGAATTTATTTACGTATAGCAAGAATAAAGCGGGTCCTATAATGGAATTTTGTGGAACTTCTTAACCAATTTCTACCTCATTAGAGTTGATTATTTTCATATAGGAAATACTTTCATATTTTTTGTGCTCATCCTACTCTTCCACATAAACGCATTTCTAATGAAAGAGATCCTAAATAGTTCAAGGTGTACTGAGTTGAACCTCTAAACAATGAGCAGTCACAGTCCGTCGCGTATTTCTGATGTGTACCGCTCTTGGTGGAATCAAATGTGCCAAGCCACTTGAACACCTCCCTTGAAAGTATCTATAAAGGAGGGACAAATCTCCCAATTTTTTTTTCGGTGTTCCAGACTATCAAGGTTGCAAGTGATGTTTGAGTCTCCAATCAGGCGGATGGCTCTTTTCTGGATGGAATCCAGCAGCTTCAGAGTATGTTTAGCGGCGGGGCTCCATACATGAGAACAGTACTCCAGAGAAGGTCTGATCTGAGCTTTATAAAGCATCAAAAGTTACCGGAGTGTGTACGGTTTTCTGGTTCGGAACAGTGTTCCAAGCTTTTGAGAAGCAGCCTTTACAATGCCAGCGACATGATTGTGCCAAGACATATTGGTGCCCATTTCAACCCCCAACAAAATTGTCGAAGCATTGTCTGTCCTGTATATTTGTTCCTGTATATCCGGTTCGAAGACATATATCTTTTTGGAGAAAACCGATGCCTGAGTTTTCGTGGCACTGAATTGAATCTGGTTACTTTCACCCCAATTCGAAATCATTTCTAGATATTCATTAAGATATGCAATCTCCTGCTGCTGGTGAAGATATGCATCCGCAGTGGATGTCCTGGAATCCAAATAAAATGACGAGAAAAGTGTGCTATCATCAGCAAAGCAATATATTGGATTCTTGTTTTTTTGCAATAAGTCTTTGATATACAATAAAAAGGGTTCGAGACAATATTGATCCCTGGGGAACACTAGCGTTGAGAGAGTCATACGCAAAAATGATCCGAGAAGACATAGCATTGAAGTTTGGCCAGCAAACCCTCATGCCTCAAAACTCTCCATTAAGTTTTTACAATAGTTTTGTGTCATCGACACAATTGAAAGCCTTGCTGAGGGAGCTCACAGAATATCCCAATAGGGTACTCGCCTCTTTTCAACGATTCAAACAATTTTTCATAGAAGGAAACAATTTCAATTGCTGTCATCGTTGACCTATTATTACTGAAATCTTGTTGGTCTTTAGCGTGTTTCTATGTCTTTACAAGACATATGAAAAGTATGTCCATTCAACCGAATTCTAAGCGAAAAGGGTTCAGTAACAGATCTGTAGTTCTCATGCCTATCATCTTTTTTATAAATTGAAACTACCTTACTTCACTTCAAATTACCAAAAAAAAAAATGTACAATATCGATCAGGTTTTAATAATTGTTGACAAAAATTGTTTAAGTAAACAAAGGAAATGTATCATCAGGTACAGAGGAGTGCTTGTTTGTCAGTTTTTTATTAATGAAATTGAAAAATTCCTCTCTAGTGAATGGATAAAGAAAAAACTTATTTTGTTCACAAATCCTATTCTGTGAATAAAATTCTACTAGTGCTTCTTTTGATGAAGTTTGAAAAAGTTGTTGAAAGTGCCAGGGTGACATCAATTTTTTATATGCATTATGGTCCAGAAGACTTAGTAATTCCTCCGTTGTGTTGTATACAATATTCACCATGAAACGAGGCTCTCAAAGATGATTTGTTTGTTCTTTGTTATTATCTGGTTACCTGCTTCCAGTGAAAGCGGCAGAGAGAGACAAAAGACTAATATTGTTCGGTGTCGAAGCTTACTGTTGCAAAGGATCGCCTTTGAGAGCCTCGTTTATCTCTGGTATTCGTAGTTTGAGTCTACTGTCGATCACATAGATGGCGACTTTGTAAGGGGAGATGTCATCACGTTTTCCCACCGTTATCAAATGTTACATCGCATTACACTGAACGAAATTTTTGATATTTCAGATCATTTTCGAAATCCCAGTGAGTACCTACATGATTTGAAGGTTTTTGAAATAAATGTTTGTTCTAAAACTTATCACGTTTCATTTGTGGTGTCTCAGCTCATTTATAAATATAGGAAAGCAAAAACTCTCACAATTGCGAACTAACAAAAGTTAACGTTTTCAAGCAATTTTTATATATGTGTACTAATACCGCACTGAAGCAATAATGAAATGACATGGGCAACTGAAACATATTAAATTCTTTTTTAAGCAATATTTGAACACTGAGATTTGATTTTCTGTTATGTTGTTTTTCAAATTCACAATGGTGGTGTCAGGAGTGGGATATTTATATATGTTTAGTCACAAATAGTAAAAAGACAGCATAACTGAGTTCAAAGTACAAGTTTCTGCAAAATTTTTTAATGGGTAACTATTTCAGGTGCCCTAATCATTGCGACGACCACTTGAAATGTCTAACAATATAATTATGTATTTCAGGAGGACAAAGGGAAATAGAAAGAGTGAAGAATGTTTTAATCCAGTCAAACTCCGTACTAGAAGCTTTTGGTAATGCAAAAACCAATAGAAACGATAATTCCTCCAGATTCGGAAAATACATGGATATAAATTTTGACTTTAAGGGTGATCCTATTGGTGGCCATATCAACAAATACTTATTAGAGAAATCGAGAGTGATTCACCAGCAACCAGGAGAAAGAAATTTCCATTGTTTTTATCAGGTCAGTATAATGAGAATCATCATTTACTCATTTACCAGTACTTGTTTCAACTAAACCAAAATATAAACATATTTATGTAACATACTCAATATTTATCCATAACTGTATTACCTAAACCTTTGTCAATTTCAATCCCAAAGATATAGTTCTTAGTGACAATAACATTTAGTGCACTCTTGCCTATTCTATGAAATAGATCTACTATTTTATTAGAACTAGATGCTATTTTGTAGTGTGGAATTCCAAATGGAAATAAAAATCTTTCAAATGGTTTTTTCTAGTCAGAACAGAAGTGATTCTGGAAAGCTCTCTAGAAAGTAGTTCAGGTCTTTGTAATCCATATGCTTTCATTCACCTAAACCCTAAACAATAAAAAACCATTTGATATTTTACACTACACAGAATACAGCTTTTTTTCTTTTCTTTAATTTTGGTTCAAAGTAATTTGAATACCAAAATTTGCGTTTTTATGATTCGTTAGTTTCATGAAGTTAAACTTGGTTTAAACAAGTTTGAAAAATATTCTGTCAATTGTTAATATCTGCTGTGCAGACCAAAACATAGTAAGAACATTTGTTATGGAGTATTTTCCAAGGAATATTTCTAAAGTTATGTAATTACCCTGCTTCAAAAAAACAAATGAATAAATGCATTACATTCTGATTACTCTGAAGTAGAAAAAAAATAATGCATAGATAAAACTAAATCCCCGAGTGACATTTAATGTTTTTCCCCACAGTCGACAAAGATTTCAAATGTTGTACTTAATAAACCTAGCTGATAATTAAATAGGTACTAAAAAATAGACAATATATAACTTTTTATATACAAGAGAGTAGAATTGAACCACAAACTCGGTAGTTATAAATTCATGTGGGATTACTCAGATTGATAAAGCCAGTTAACATATACATTCATAAGAATTCATAAAAAGGAATCACTCCCTGAAATCAAAGTCATCACTTATAATACATATACCCTGTATATCGAAATATATGATTAGTGGTTATTGTAGATTACTCAACTATGCTTTATTTCTGCAGCTGCTTGTTGGGGCAAACGAAGACTTACTGAAAAGACTGAATTTATCACGTGATTCCAATCAATACTACTACGTGAAACAGGGAAACGCTTCCAAAGTAGATACTTTAAACGACCGCAACGATTACCGCGATGTCACTTCATCTTTAGATACTCTCCAGTTCAGAAAGGAAGACCATGACACATTATGGAGGGTGGTCGCTGCAATATTACATTTAGGCAACATAGAATTCGTCAATGACGAAGAAAAACTCGTACTAAAGAAATCCAAATGCGTTGACTATGTGGCTGATCTACTTCAGGTGAGGAAAAACGAATTGGAAACTGCCTTATGCGAACGAGTAATTGCAGCGAGGGGCGATATTATGCGAAAGGAACATACCGAAACAGAAGCCTCTTTTGGTCGAGATGCATTTGCGAAAGCAGTGTATGACAGATTGTTCACTTGGATAGTTGATAAAATCAACAAGGCGATTTCAGTGGATCAAAGTAGTCAAAGGTCGTATTACAAGAGTTCTCTGATAGGTGTTTTGGATATTTATGGTTTTGAGATTTTTGATAACAATAGCTTTGAACAGTTCTGCATAAATTATTGCAATGAAAAACTGCAACAGCTATTTATTGGTGAGTTACTTGTTAGCCTTTTGAATTTTCCTATCCCATAAATCCTATTCATTATCTTGCCTCGACTTGTTTATAAAAAAAATTCGGCTCCTCTTCGGGCGCCAAAAATTGGTAAAGAAATGGTCAGGAGTTTATTGTGAATTGATTAATGAATTGTTGTTTAGTTTTTGGTAACGATGTTATATATAGATTTTGTCATTCTCAAATTGAATTTTTCGAGCATTTGTCTATACAAATTCACACGCGCCTTTTTTTGAGAGTCACGTCGATCGAATTGTACGGAATATATCGGTACAAAGTCAAATGTCATGTACTGCAATGTGCAATATGACATCTAGATCATAGTATCGGAAGGAAGATTCCCACATTTTTTTTGTATAAAGATGGAGAAGTAGAAAGCCAAAACCCATCTTTCCCAGAAATTAATCCCTCCTAAAACTATACCCCTTTCAATTCAACCAATATTCCTATAGCTGGGATTAAATCAAATAAGCGAATGTATATCATTACATACTGTCATCGATGACATGAGTAGATTAAACTCTTTCATGATATATGGTCGTAATTGTAAGAAAGGATTGAGTGATTTATTTTGTAATGGTAATCAGATTGGTTCTTGAGAGGCAATAAGACAAGTGTCTTATTCTGTAACTCGATTTCCACCATTGAGGATGACAGTGTTCCATGTAAGGGAAACATTACGTTTTTTATATACGATACTGTGTAGCAATCCTGTGAATGATATCTGACTCGATTCCATAATGAATATTTGGAGTACTAACTGAATAGGAAATGTTTTTTTTAAATTCAATGTTCATATAAAAGTAGTTGTTTGGAAAGTATTTTCTCAATGTTTATATGAAAGTAGTTGTTTTGAGAGAGCTTTTTCTTCCAGTTTATGTTTCATAGTTACTTCTTCGTATGTTCTACACATCTTTGTGAACAGTTAGATCATTTGGAAATCCATTGCTTTCTTACTTTCTTTGGAAGAGTCCCACATTTTTTCTGTATAAAGATGGATAAATGGAAAGCCAGAATCTTCCTTTCCTAAAAATTAATTTCTCATAAAAATATACCCCTTTCGATTTATTCAATTTTATTTCGCTGAAAGCAATTAAATACCAACTCGGGTAATTTAACTGATTTTTCGATTTTAGAACTTGTACTGAAGCAAGAACAGGAGGAATATAATCGAGAAGGGATTGCATGGACAAATATTGAGTATTTCAACAATCAGATAATTTGTGACTTGGTGGAAGCACCACACCAAGGAATCATTTCTATAATGGACGATGCTTGCAAAATGACGGCGGAGAAAGTAACGGACGAAATGTTATTAGAAGCTATGGATAAGAAACTAAAAGGGCACAAGCATTATATGTCACGTCAGGTGAAACCTTCAGAAAAGACCCTGAGACACAAAACAGATTTTAGAGTTACACACTACGCGGGGGATGTAACATACTGCATTATAGGCTTTCTGGATAAAAACAAGGATACCCTGTTTCAAGATTTCAAGAGACTTCTTTTCAATTCCAAGGACAGCAATATAAAGGAAATGTGGCCAGAAGGCTCACAACATATTTCAGAGGTAAGTACAATTGTAAACTTTACATTTTCAGTCATCGCTTGATGATACTAACTGGTTTAGAGAAATACGCGTTGAGAGACAATATTTTTCATTTCATTCTTCATTTCCTCTGAATCGGAGTTACTGCGAAGTTCATCATACCGTGTTAGGAATCACACGTTAAAAGGTAAGACCTCGTTAGTCCTTAGCTTGCACAAGTTTCTCAACATCTGAGAGTTGTCGTTCGTATGGGGTTGACAGCTGATTAACCGAAAAACAGATTTTTTTTTTAAACAGATCTTCGGAAAGCAAACATCCAGTTTTCTCCGCAAGAAGCTTGAAAGAATTTGAGATGTATTACTATGAGCTTCCAACGTTCCTTGATCTCACTCACATAGAATATCAAGATAGGAAATTGCATAATTGTATATCGTAAGCGAATGATGTTTCTTTTGAGTTAACATAAAGGATCTCTAGTTTTCAAATTGTACATCTTTGATATACAGTGCATTTCTTTAATGTCCTCCCCTTTTATTTTTTGAACGGGTCAACTCAAAAAATTTAAATTTGGGATAATGAAATTAATGCATGAATACTTTATTTTGAAGTGAAATTGACAGATGAAACTTTCAAGATGGCGACTGGGCGCCTTCTGGGAAAAAAGAACAAATGGAAAGGGGGGTCTTGTGACACATAATTTTGAGGCTCCTGAGGAATACTTCACAACCCCAGAATATGAAGTCAATATCTTCACCTACTACAAAATGGCGGAACATTTATTAATTTCCTGAAGACAAACACATTAATATCTATATTTCTAGAAATATTCCTTTTTATCTGCCATATGGCAATTCCAACAACCCTATAAGGTTTGTTAAGTTATTTTTTGTTTATAAAAACGACAAAAAATGTCAGTACGACAATGAACATCATTGTTCAGTTGGAATATTCTCATTTAGTTTTACTAGTAGAAAGGTACCACGTCAACAATCTCTAAAATGGTCAATTCTCGTCTCGATTTTTATTTACGGTGCGACACGCAACTTTCACGAGACCTATAGGATTTTCAATGAACGTTTTCCGAATCGTCCTATCTGTAGAAAATATTTGAGGGAACTTGTATCCGAATTCACAACTACCTGTAGTGTACATAACAAAAAGCCCCCTAGGTCATCTGTCCATTCCGGAAGAACAGCAAGTGCAAATAATTGGTGAGATGATATTAAATCCTTAACAGTCTACTTATTCCGTCGCGAATGTTTGTGAGGTGTCTCCTTCTACTGTGTGGAGACTTTTGAAGAGAAATAGGTATCATCCATACAAAATTAAAATGGTACACCAATTAACTGAAGATGACCCAGATCGAAGAACAGAATTCTGCAAAATCATGACGGAAACTATTGCAAGGTATCCTACCTATCTCCACAATATTCGTTTTAGTGACGGCAATGTTCACAGACAAAATTGCCGTTATTGGAGTGACACCAACTCTCACGTTTTCCGGAAAACACATACCCAATATCCAGAAAAAACTAACGTTTGGGCAGGAATATTGGGAAACCATATTATAGGACCTCTATTTATTGATCAAAATTTAACACCAGAACTGTATTTGAATATGCTGGAAACTACTGTTGATCCTCTCATCACTGAAATCGTCGAAGCGGAATCCTAATGAATAAGATGGAGCACCATCACATTACTNTAAGGAATTAACGATGTCACAATTAGACAAGTAAGAAACTATTTGGATACTACTTTTCCCGGTCGTTGGATTGACCGTCGAGGTCCTACAGAACGGCCAGCCCGCTCGCCAGATTTGACACCTTTGGACTTTTTTCAAAAGGTGTACGAAACTGAACCTGCTTCAATATTGGATATATGACAGAAAATAATAAATATTTGTAGAGACATTGACGTTTCTGTGTTCGAAAATGTTCGGCGTGACATATCGGATAGGCTATTCATATGTCAAGAAGTTCAAGGCAACCATTTCGAGCATCTTCTGAACTGACCTCATATTATGTAGTTAAATGTCAATGTATTCAGGCAATTATTAAAAGTTCCGCCATTTCGTAGAAGTTGAAGATATCGACATTATATTCTAGGGTTGTGGAGCATTTGTCAGGAGCTTCAAAAAGATGTGTCACAAGACCCCCCTTTCTATTTAATTTTTCTCTCAGATGGCGCCTAGTCGCCATCTTGAAAGTTTTATCTGTCAATTTTACTTCAAAATGAAGTATTCATGCATTAATTTCATTATCCCAAATTTAAATTTTTGGAGTTGACCCTTTCAAAAAATAAAAAGGGGGGGAGCAATAAAGAAATGCACTGTATAGCTGGTGTAGCCCAAACATAAATCCTGCACCGATTGCTTGTTCATACTGTTTGCACATGATTTCAAACTTTAAGAAAATATAATTACCAACCGACTTAAAACTCTCTCAAGATTTTGAAAATATAAACTCTTGGTGCACTTCAAGTTGCATTTTATTGAATGTTAAAAATCGGTTTTGTATAGAATTTTCCAAATCTTCCACTCTCAAACTATAGCTCTATTTAACTAGCACTACATCACTAGTGAGAATCAACGAAATTCGTGACTCGGTCAAATCTCGATTTTGAGCTTACATTTCAATTCCAAATTGACAAAGTAACTTCTAAAGCTTGAAATGCTCGCCTTCATTAACTGATCATCAATTAATTTCACTTACAATACTTCAAAATTGCTCTATTTCTCATTGGTTTGATCAATTATTGAATATTGTTGCTTCATCTGGAATACCTATTACGACTCATATATCGATCAAATAGAGAGTATTTAAAACAAGTAGGTAATATGTATTATGCCTCCAGAATGGGTTTCACATGCATAGATTGTCATGTTGTTGAATGTTTCTATTCTAAATGATATGAGATCGACATCTTGTATGGGTTTTTTATGTATCAAATAATATTGGCTGTTCAGCATTACTGGAAAAAATCGATTTCAGTGTAGCAAAACGCTGTAGAAATCATTTGAGAAACTGTTAGGAAAATATTAAAATCACCCACAGATGTGTATTTCGAATATAAATCAGGAGAAAGCTCCCTTTGAAAACAACTACTTTCCTATACTGGAATTGAAATATATATTGAATTCTTTTTATCTCATTGAACACAGACCACGTTCACACGAGAATATTACATCTGATGTTATAAGGATCAATGGCTACAAATGTAGCCAACTTAACACATCTGACTGTGAAGTTGACATATGCACTGTCAGAAACGGTTTTCCAATAAAATGGAAAACTTGCCTTTTGAAATGACAGGAATACTTCATTTCAGGGAAAAAATAAAAAATCATCTGCCTTGGAATTCATATTCTATTTTTTGTTAAATGATAAGTTATTGCATATGTTTATCATTTTTCAAGTGACCATTTGTTGCATAGGTTCTACTGAATGGGAAAATATTTGGTTAACCTGAATCTTTTCCACTCTAATTTTATCCACTACTCACCTTTTACTTATCAAGTCAAGCAAACAGGAGGTCTTATCTTATCCCGTTTAATCAGACATTATTTCAAAATAAAATTTGCTTTCTAACAGATTAGGGAATTTTTTTGTCAGTAAATTATCATACCATTCAAAGTAGGTGTTCAGGTAACTGAATGAATCATGTTTTAAAAAGCTAATCCTCTTTCCAAATGGTTTGGGGTTTTAAAATCACTCTGATAACACGAAGAAAATGATGTTTACAGTTTTTAATGTTGCTTCTAGTAACATCGGTTGTTAGACATTCTCCTGCAAGATGCCGTGTAAACCCGGACACTGTTTCATAAATAGAAAACATAGCATTGTGTTGCTCTGTTTGCTGTGGTTTTTGTCTGACACATAAATAACTCTCGCACGTCAATAGTTTATCTTTTTACCCTGGGGCTATTAGCTCTTACTTTTACATTATATTGAATGGGATTAGTGATACCTTGCAGGGAAGGTTTCGGTCTTTGTATAAGGTTAGGTTAGGTCCAAAGTGAGTGGGTCCAGACCTTTCACCGACCTTTTAAGTATTACTTCTCTCTTCACTTTTCCGAAAATTATATGATGCGTCTACTTCAGCTTAGATCTTGGTCACTTATATCCGTGCTTTTTCCATCATCAAAATTATTTAAAAGGCCTCAATCCAAGTGGTAAGGAATATCCACTGGTAGATCTTTTAACGTTTTAACATTTTTTCGTAAGTAGTTCAATTGATGTCATTCCTAATGTCATGATCTTATTGATAAGGGTGCATCTGTAAGTAAAGTTGTTTACTTTGACACTTCTAGGTTTCCTGTTAAGGGTTTATCACGTTGGTTTTCTAGCTGGTAGATCTTGAGCTCGTTTTGAATTTTAAACATTCTCCAGTTTTAATTATTTCTCTGGTCTGAAAGTTATTGATGATATTTTCTCAAACAATTGACCAAAGACTCACTCTTGGTTAATATTGGGATCTTGAGAAGGCAATGTAGTAATTATTTCCACTAAATTGTTTCCAGATTTTCTTTTTTATGTTGGGTTAGGTTAGGTCCAAAGTGCGTGCGTCTATTCGACCCTCCACCGTAACCCGCAAGGGTTTATTGTGGTTCACACCTATTCACACTCGACCAAATAAACCCAGCTTCTTAACGAGGCCAATTAGTTTGTATGGTGAGTGGTCTTTCAGCACAGATGGTAAGAGTACGGCTCTGCCGAACTCTTAAAACCTGACTCGGTCCCCAGCCGGGCAGACACATGCTGTTTTATCATTTTCCAAACAGAGGCGACACACCGCCTTCTGACAGTCCGAGTCTCTGTATATGATGATTCAAATGACAGTGACATGTAAGAAGGCCTGTTAGACATTGTAGTTCATCCCTAATGTAGTCTAACAACTGTTGGTATCAAGCTTCGAAAGGTGAATGAACGCCGTGGAGTGAGCCAATCTTGGAAGATTCTGCCAGAACTTCATAAATCTTTTTGCCATTCAGGTGTAAGAGGAGTTGCCCTAGATTTAATGAAATCCTACCTGGAAAATAGAGGGCAACGTGTCAGTGTTGGAAACACTCTCAGTCAGTTGGCAACCATTAGGCAGGGTGTCCCACAGGGATCAATCCTTGGACCTATACTATTTTTGATATATGCAAATGACCTGATGAAATATTTTCAAGGATTGTCAACTATTCTCTCCAACTGAAAGTTATTAATAATATTTTCTCAAACAATTGACCAAAGACTCACTCTTGGTTAATATTGGGCTCTTGAGAAGGCAATGTACTAATTATTTGCACTGAATTGTTTCCAGATTTTCTTTTTTATGTTGGGTTGGGTTAGGTCCAAATTGCGTGGGTCTATTCGACCGTAACGTATTTTCGATAGTTAGGGGACTAAACAAGAGAGACATGCAAAGTATAAACACACCTATTGAAAGCAAAATAATATCAAGGTTAGGGTTAGCTTAGGTCCAAAGTGAGTAGGTCAGGTCTATTCGACCCTCCACCGCAACCCGCAAGGATTTATTGTGGCTCACATCTATTCACACTCGACCAAATAAACCCAGCTTCTTAACGAAGCCGATCAGTTTGTATGGTGAGTGGTCTTTCAGCACAGATGGTAAGAGTACGGCACTGCCGAAGTCTTAAAACCTGACTCGGTCCTCAGCGGGGCAGACACAAAGTATGTGCTCTGCTGTTTTATCAGTTTCCAAACAGAGGCGACACACCGCCTTCCGACAGTCCGAGCTTCTGTATATGATGATTCAAATGACAGTAACCCGTAAGAAGGCCTGTTAGACATTGTAGTTCATTCCTAATGTAGTCTAACAACTGTTTGGTATCAAGCTTCGAAAGGTAAATGAACGCCGTGGAGTGAGCCAATCTTGGAAGATTCTGCCAGAACTTCATAAATCTTTTTGCCATTCAGGTGTTCAATTTTTGTTTGGCAAAGCCTAAAGCGTTGCCAATGACAGGTTCTGGTCCGATGAAATTGCTTGCAGGAACCTCCTTTGCAAGGTAGTCAGCAGCCTCATTGCCTTCTAGGCCAGTATGGCCAGGAATCCAGACCAGAGACAATCTGTTGAGTCTTCCTATCGAGGAGAGTTGTTTTTGGCAATTTGCTACCAATTTAGACGTTTCTCGGTAGAAGCCAAGAGCTTCCAACGCCGCTTGACTGTCCGAGAATATTTTTATTGACTTGTGTATGAGGTTGGATTCTTCCAATCTCTCCGCACACAATTAAATAGCGTCAATTTCCGCTTGAAATACCTTCGCATAGGTTCCTAGGCAGGTTGATATCTCTGTCCTGGGTTTGTGACTGAAAATACCTGCACCAGTCCTCTCTACTCGGGAATAGTACTTTATAAGGCAGTTCCTAGTTGACAGTTGGAGGCATAAAGTTAGAGGGCATTTCCAGAATGCTGTGACTTCCAGTGTCAACCAAAAGTCTGTTAAACTCTGCATTAAATTGATTTGTGCAATTGGCAATTTGCACAAGTCTTTATACAGTCCATCTAGCCTCTCTCTCCAGAAAAATGTGGAGAGAAAGTAGATCTAGGAGAATCTCCATGGCCTCTGACGGTGTGGTACTGATGGCACCACTTATGGCTAGACGAGCATGTCTCTGTAAGCCAGAGAGCTTCACCTGAGCCGTTTTCTATAAAGCCTTCGGCCACCAGTGAATTGCACCATAAGTGATCATTGGTCTAACAATCATCACATACATCCAATGGATTTGTTTACGACCTAAACCCCAAGTTTTACCACAAATCCTTGGTCCTTGTATTACTTTGCTCACAAAATCTGAGTCATGTCTAGGATTTTTTGCATGTGCTTTGAGAATAAATCGTTACTTTGCCCATAATGATTATCCCAACAAAAATATCTGACACGTGCAACCCTTAGATGCATTCTGAGGACTTACTGAAACCAAAGCGTGCTGTGATAAATCTATTCTTTTTTCGAATCAACTAGTAGCTGTGTCCCCATCAATTGGTGAAAGAATTCATCTCGTATATTGTTTCTTTCCGAGAATATTAAGTTTATTTCATTTTCAGATTACGAAAAGGCCTCCAACTGCTGGCACACTCTTCAAGAATTCCATGCAAGCTCTTGTGATAAATCTACAAAGTAAAGAGCCACATTATGTTCGATGCATCAAACCAAACGAAATTAAATCAGCTTCTGCTTTTGATGAGGAACGTGTGAGACATCAAGTTAGTTATTTGGGGCTGGTTGAAAATGTTCGAGTGAGAAGAGCTGGGTTCGCTCATAGGCAACGATACGATAGATTTTTGAAGAGGTGAGGATTGTTTAAATTGAATGGGGTATATTTTTAGGAGATATTCATTTTTATTTATCTTCTGCTACATAATATAGTGTGTGAAAGAGGTATAATTTCACTTACATGGAACACTGTCATCCTTAATGGCAGACATTGATGTTTCGGATAATATTAGGACTCAGGTTCAGTTTCAATTTGTAGACGACAAAAGACAATTTATTTTATTTTTATCGTTGTTTTAATTTTGATTGATTCTTGAAAAAAAAATTATAAAACGTATTTACCTCATGTGTTGATAATAATTACAAAATATTTTCAGCAGGATAAAACCCTTGTTAATGTCACATATAGGAAAATTTCAGTTTATATTTTAAGCAGAATATATTTTTTATCAGATTGAGTTATAGTATACATTTTTGTGTTTGAATACATTATTAATTAGAAAAAAATTGTATTTATTTGGGGTATATTTTGGTTTTATGGTACCAATGAAGATTCACTTGATATTTTATCGTTTGACAAAAATTATATTTCTCAAAACCAATACTGCCAAATGGATCTTGTGATAATGTCGGAACGAAATAAAGTAATTTTCAGTTCTGGTTTTGGAAACGTGAATTTATTTGAGTTCAGCAGAGATTTAAACTAAAAATTAAAAATTAGTATGTGGGAAAAGAAATGATGAGAATATATAAGCTGAACTTATAAACCGATCCTTCAATCTGGGCCTCTTCCCAGAGTTTTTAAAAATTTCCATTGTGGTCCCGATTCGTAAAGGTGGGAACAGTAGCGACCCATCGAACTTTAGGCCTATAACTCTAATTCCCACCCTGGCCAAAATAATCGAGAAATTGGTGCAGGAAAGGTTGCTAAGGTTTTTTGGAATCCAACTACCATCAATCGACTAAGAGGGAATCTATTTTTTTACGTTTCAGTTTTGATTTATCTTTTTTTTTTCGTTGTTTTGTTCGTGATTATTTATGTTATACTTTTGAAAAAAAAAATCCTACTATAAACATGTATAGGTATTTCTTACGAAAATATCATTATTATTATCATTATTATTATATTCCTCTGCTGAATAAAATCATATACTGAAGTTTAATTGCTAGAGAATTTTTCACTGATTCTGACTGTGGTATAAAAAAACTAGTGTTGAAACTTCCATATCTCTAGAAAAACAATTTTTCACTTTTTTTTACCAATGTTTCAGTAATCAAATGCTTTTTCTTAAATTTGTTTTATTATTCTTTTTACTCCTGATGGCGTCAACTATTCATGTCTGTGAAACGTTAGGACATGGAAAACTAATTTTTTTATTTCATTTTGTTTATTAGTGTCAAACTTTTTTTCTGACAAGATAATTGTTTCAGGTATAAAATGATTTCCCATTTCACTTGGCCCAACTACAGAGGGTCAGACAGAGACGGCTGTCGAGCGATAATGGATGAAAATAATTTCACCGATGATGTCAAATATGGAAAAACAAAAATATTTATCCGAACTCCGCAAACTTTGTTTGCTCTTGAACATGCCCGTAACAAACTTATCCCTGCAATAGTCACCCTAATTCAGAAATCGTGGAGAGGTATGAATAAACATATTACACATACCTGAATTATTGATAATTTTTTTAGGCTATGTGGCACGTGAACAATATAAGAGGATGAAGGCCCTCATGACGATGATCAAAGTGTACCGCATGAAGAAAATGCGAGAATATATTACCGTTTTAGCAAATAAATTTCATCGCGCAAAGTCTATGAAGGATTACGGAAAAAGTATCGTTTGGCCTGCGCCCCCTTTATCTCTGAGAGAAACAACAAAATCCTTGAGGAAGCTTTACAATAGATGGCGTGCTCAAATGATACTCGGAAAAATACCTCGCAACGAATGGCCGCAGATGAAGTTGAAAATAACCGCTGCCAGTGCCCTTATCAACAAACGAGCTCACTATGGCTTGAACAGAAGATGGGAAGGAAACTACCTCTCGACCCACCTAGAAAACACCAATTATACCGTCTTCAATGAGTCTGTGAATAATTTGAGGAACACAATTCACTTCAACAGTGTTCTCTTTTCATCCTATGTTACAAAATTCAATAAATTCAACAAAGTTGCTGAAAGAATAATGCTGGTGACTGACCAGTTGATTTTTAAGCTGGACTGTGAGAAGTTCCGTAATATGAAAGAAGGAATGTCTTTGGGAGATTTAACTGGCATCAGCGTCAGTCCAGGACAAGATCAATTGATCGTGTTACATTGTTTAGGTGGCAATGATTTAGTTGTGTCGCTCCACTGCCAGAAGCAAGAGGATAGGATTGGAGAGTGTGTAGGAGTAATTTGTGATAGATATTCCCAGTAAGTACCATGAAAATGTTTTTTACATTTTAGACATTTTCCTGAGTTTGGCAAGACTCTTGATGGATATTCAAGGTTGAGTTATGAAAGCTAATTTTAGAATCAATCCTTTTAACTTTTCATGTTCATGTACATGTATTTCAATTTGAGGTTACCTGTAAATAAATAAGAGAGTGATCTCGAAGGTAATTGACTATAAAATATCAATGGGGGTATAGAAAGAGATTTTATTGACAAAGCAAGATAAATTTATAACGTTAATTTTTTTTACGCATACTTCTAATTTTATACAAATAATAAAAAATATAGAAATACATAAAAAATATGTTTCGGCAGAGATTCATTGTCAAATTCTTGAAGTATATAGTATGCTTTTTTCTCCAAATTCCTGCCTTAGTGCGGCAAGCCAGCATGATTTTGACATTCGAGTGTGCATAGATCCTCATTTTACCAAGGACTTCAATAATCGAAATAACCATCCTGACAGAGTGGTCTGGATAGAGTATGTGGAATTCCAAGAGATAATCTCGATAGTTCATCTGTTTTTTCTCTTATCGGACGATAATCATCTTGTAGGAGCTGAAAACTCCACGACAAATACCGTCTTGCTCCGATGCCCGCATGAAATTGACGGCGGGAATGGATAGTTCTAATAAATTTTCCATATCTCGTTCCCCCAAAACGGATTCGAAATCCCCTGGAGAGTAGGGCAACACCGTTATCTTGTCAATACTGTAAAAGTGTCTAGGTGGTATTAAAGCACTCTTATAGCTGCGTTATGTCGATGTATATAGACTGAGTCTGCATATGCTGGACATGCTGACAGAAAGTGCATTTGGGTCTCAGGTGCTTCGCGGTAGGTCCTGCACCTTGTGTCAAGAACTTGGGTATATACTCAGCACGTGACTGCGGTAGACAAAGGTGTTGAAGACATCATCCTTGCAGGCCATGATAAACCCCCCAGTTTCCTTCAGTACATTCGACCTGAGGAAAGCGAAAGTCAGGCGCTTTGATAAGCCTTGGACTTCAATGTTGTTGAAGACCCTATGCGTTGACTTATCCTTGCAAGAGTAAAGTGATGTCTGCGGCTTTTATATAGGCCTTTTGCAGAGTTGTGATTCGAACTCCTGACGACTTTTAGGGCTCCATTGATATACATTTATTTAAAATCCCTGAAAGAATCTGTAAAAAATTACCATCATAATATGGAACCATAGGAATGCAGAACTAGATACCTTCCTGAAGCACATCCATCAATTTTACAATGGAGTAAGTCAACAACGAATTGCCAATCTTTGACGTATTGGTGAAGGAGACCAACACTAAATGGAAAACATCTGTACCTATATCGAAAACCCACTCTCACAGGACAGAATCTGAACCAGGAATCCAACTACCATCAATCGACTAAGAGGGAAATCATCAAGACTCTACTAGACCGTGCTTTTGGGCTTTTTAATACAAAGGAAGGTCTCGAAAAGGAACCAGGCATCATCAAAAATGACCTTCAATGGAATGGTTATTCCAAAGTGATGGTGGAACAGGCTTTAACTAGAAGACAGCAAGAGCTCCACAAGGAGGAGAAGCCGCCACAACCAGTACTGGTACTTCCCTATATCAGAGGATTGTCGAAAAGGATAAGAAGATGAACCTGTTTCAGATCTGGGAACACTAGCCTCACGAAAACCAGACCACCAAATGTGGACTGCGATTCCAAGAATTACATTTACCAGATACCCTGCGAGTACAGAGAATCATACATCGGAGAAACTAAGAGGCCTTTGAAAGTTCGCATTGCCGAGCACAAGAAACACACACATCGAGGAGAAACCAACAAATCAGGAATAGCAGAGCATGTTTTGACTCATCAACATAACATCAAGTGGGCTGAAGCTGAAATCATCCACAAGGAGGAACACTGGTTTAGGAGAATATTCAAAGAAGCCGCATATATGTTGTCCAACAACGCATTTAGCTATGCTAGCGTAGAGATACGCAACATATGGAAACCTCTAATCACGCGGAACCTGACCAACTCCCGCCAAACGGTCAGTTTCCGCCAAAACCGATGAAGAGGAGAGAGGAAAGGGGATAGGTGGAAGCACTCGAATGACCTATAAATAGTCAGATCTCCGAGGAATAAGTCCTGTTATCACTCGAAGACGATTATGGAATTAATCGTGAATTAACTTTGGTTTGGAATCTTTTAATTTTTCATTTCTTGTTGATAATTTTTTAATTTATATCTCGTGTTAATAGTTCTTTTTTTTTTTATTTTTTGGTTGTTCCTTGTATTTTATTTCAGTTCTTCTTGTTTAATATAATTGTTTTTTAGATAACCTTTTTTAATTTTTTACAGATTCTTTTAGGGATTTTAAATCAATTTATATCATATTAGACAAGTCCATACTAATGAAATTGACTCAAAGTGTGGTGGATACAATGTAATTTGGCGTAATAGGCCTGTTGTCACTCTGTTTTGGGCACGACTAATCATTCTGCGGCGTCATTGAGTGAAATTGCAAGAGTACCCAGTGATGGTAACCATTACTGGAAAGATGAAAATTGGTTCATATCTACGGTTTTGTTCTTCATGCAAAACTGGTAAGAGGACCATGGAACACTGGTCCTCGACTCCACACTAACCAATGTTGTATTGTATTCTAAATTTTTTACGGTAAATGGTCGGTTTGAGACATGGCTTTCAAAAGATTAACCTGGGTTTATCGTAAATGATTTTTTTCATCTTGTCTCATAATGGAGTATTTGCTCTTGATTTTGGCAGAGTTTCACTCTTGCCTTTGACCTGGGAGATCGTTCATCAGCTTCGTCAAGAAGCTGGACTTATTTGATTGAGTTTGAACAGGTGTGAGCCACAATAAACCCTTGCGGGTTGCAGTGGAGGGTCGAATTGATGCACTCACTTTGAATATAACCTAACTTAGTGCAGCGGAGACGATGTGGTTTATAAATCGACAAGTAAAATGTATAAGAGTACGAATGAGTAACTTTTGTATGCAATTTTTATACCTGCTAATTTCTTAGAAATGAAATTAACGTCAAAAAGTTTAGTCAATATTTAACTCTTAACATTTTTTGAATAATCTGTGAGGATATAATTAGATTTTTTATTAATAAACTCAATTGAAATTTAAGGGTGATTTGTGATTATTTAGTGAAATGAACCTCCATTTGATGGCATTGTTTATTTATAAACGGGTTACCCTCTATTAATAAAATATATGAATTAAAAAGACATCACATATTATGTGTAATCATCCTGGTTACGTTTTAATTAAGCACTTGATGGATCAGAATGTTCAAATAGAAATTGGATAACTTGAGAAAAAAGAATATCAGAAATATTGTCACTTGACATTTATCTTTCTCTACAATGATCGATCATTATACTTGATAAAATTACAAACACAAAATATATTCCATATACAGAATGAAATTCGATATATAATAGATAATGCCCGATATGGCGTTCTTGTTAAACTGTTTAGTGAAAATCTCACAATTAAGTGGTTTTTGAATACTGTAACAAATCTGAAGCCGTCCCTGACTGATACGCCAGTCGACTAGTCGAACAAACACATGATCTCACCTTAAAAGAATGCAGTCGGGAATCGCCGGTAAAATTCTAGTATCGAACCGACTACAGAATTCTAGAAAGGACCTTTATTGATATATGCCCGTCTTTCCGACTCAAGAAGGCAGTTAAGAAGGTGAATCGAGCAACTAAACAAGAAATTCAAATAGTGGAAATTAATTAGGCGTTGGTTGCTAAGTGTTGTAATAAATAAATTAGTTTGTGATTATTGAAATATTGTTGGAAATAAAGTTGTTTAAGACAGTTAATTCATTAATTTGCTACAGTACATTATATAATAGAAAATATGAACTTCGTACTACTTTTTCAAATGGGTATGATGTCACATTGCGCTCTAACCTGATTTGAATATCATGAGCCACCTCTGATTCTTTTGTACAAAATGTATCACGTTCTAGAACATAATCTTGAAAATATAATTTATTATTTCAGGATCAAAAACGCAGAACTACCTGTTAAAGTATCAAAAACCATAACATGTTCTCTTGGCCGCAAACAGAGAACAATCAATGTTCAAGTTTCCGCAGCTGAGCAGAAAGCCACCTTCAAGAAAGATGGTAACAACATTGCTTACCTTTTGCCTTCAAATTTCGCTATCCTCGAGAATGGCAACAATCACATTAAACAGTAGACTTATACAAACCACAAAGTAAGTTGTACGGAAATGATGTGTCATTGCAGTAAATGTGTCTACAAATATAAAAATTCTATGCAGGTTTAAAAAAAAAGAATATGAATGAGTTTTTCTTGTGAATTTAATCCAATTAATTGAAATTATTACAGTTTTGAATAGTATGTGAAGCAGGTGTACTTAAACATCGGACCATATAGTACTTTCCATTTAGGAAATGATAGTTTTAACTTATTTTCATTTAGCATACTATTGGTCAGTATGAAATTATTCGTTCAAGATTTTTTCAAATTTCGAGTAATACAAATTTATTGTTTTACTACAAAGAAATTGAGGGCTTTAAGATTTTTTGGTTGTATAAAGTATTACTAGTGCTATATAATTTATTACTTCATTAGTTAGTGATTAATTAGTGATTTGAAAAGCAAGTGCCTTCCGTTAATCTGCAATATTTTCACTAGCTTTTTTTAATATTTATTTTATGTACCTATACATACATAAAATAACTTAATTTACTATAGCGGTTCAGTCTTTTACAACGAAAATTCTTGTACAATTATCAGGAATACTTTTTAAAAAAATGACTAGAATCGAAGATTCTCTAGTTTGAAATTTTGGAAAATAATAGGTTTTCTGCATATCTACATAAGAGTAAAAATTTGGTTGTTGACTTGCATATTTTCAGTTGTTTTCATTGACACTTTTTCAAATTAATCCTTGTCACCCACATCACTGTTGAAAAATGAATTGAGGCAAGTCAGGTAAAGGTTGTTCATTGATCTCAGACACAAAAATATATGGGATAAATTTTCTTTTTAGTTTTTTAATGATTCCATTAGCTTGTTGTGAATAAATTGTAATTTATTGAATTGTTAGAGATTTTATTTCATATAGGATTTGGCAAAATTGGCAAAATTGTTTTCTTTAAGGCTGAAAGTTTTGTAAAAAAATTATTCTTGTGTATTACTATTTAAACATTTTCTAGAATCGTTTTTTTCAAATTTATTTCATGATTGTAACATACAATTGAGAATGATTACTGGATGGTTATTTATGGTTTTCTATTAATGTTTGATTCAATTATTGGTTTGTACTTAATTGGCAAATGCTATATTTCTAGTATTTATAGTTGATACATTTTTTCAGTTGTGTAATAATAGCAGAAGTTGGTTGTTGATATAAAAGAATTATGTTTTTCTAATCTAAGAAAGGATTTATTTGATTTTCATTTGATTTCACAGAGCTGTAATATGGATATTTTATTTATATTGTATATTATGAATATAAAAATAATTCTAAACAAATTTACATCCCCAGAGAAATCAACGATCATTATGAAGATTCATTTCAAAATTTGATTTTTAATGAGTCAAACTGGGATTAGAAAGGACATGCGGATAGACAAATAAATTAATGATCAGTTTCATTGGTTTGTATAGTGGAGTGTTTCAAAGTTTGACCAATATCCATCTATATTGAATTGAGCAACACAGTTTTACTATATATTTTGTTATTGTTGTTGATTTGTCCACCATTTCGAAAATACAGTTTCAATGTGAAGTATTGGTGAGGCTGTATATATATCCATTAGTTCATTATTCATTGGACCCCACTGGACATATTACTTTGTGTCCTTCGGGATGTTCTGGACTGCCAGGTCAAAATACATCTCTCAGAGTTGTACAAGGGGTGTATGAAACTGATTTCATGGTATTTTTATACGTCATTTTTTTTCAAAAAGAATATAGTATTTATTATATGTTTATATAGTGCCATTGTTTATATTTTGTGTATATATTTTCATACCTTTTTAGGTACCGATTGTAGTGAAGCTAATGTGCCTTAATAAAGAAAGTGAAGCTTTCATGAAATGTTTTATTACTTTTCCCTATACAATTTTTAGGAGTAGGTGTAGAAAAAAGCAGAATGAATTAAAAAAGGACAGACATTTGATTTTTCTAACTGTTACCAAGTCATTATTTTGTAACTTCCACCAAATGATTTTCAAAGTGATGTCAACATATCTAATTTTTCTTTTCAACTTAGAGAGATAATCACTTTTCCAAAGACGCAGTTCGCATTTATCGGAACTTTTGAAGGAGAAGGAGAGGACATCTTCCCTTATGAAAACGCCATATATCATCAACAGAAGACTCAAACTTCGAATAGTAGTTTTAAATAAAACTATCATGAGAGAGGTGTGTTTGAAAACTGAGCTTCGGCAGGAACTTTTGAAGTTAAAAAAGAGAGGGTGATCGTTTCTAGTTTTGTACTTCACTACTGAATAATACCCGATGAAGCAATACATTTCAGTTCCCAAAATCTTCTGGATCAAAAGTAGTCTACTCTGTATTCCAGAAGTTTATTAAAAAAAATTGTTTGCAATCGGGCTCAGCCCTAAAGATACGTTTGACTTTCATATTGCATATAACTGGTAATTTTTTGTAATTATTGAAGGACACAGAAAACCCAACTAGTTGAATGAATAAATACTGCCCAGCCGTAGTGTGAAAATTTCTATTCAGATATAACTCCCTTGGAGGACCCAATAATAAATTAAATGGAAAAAATTAATCAGTTATGATGTCTAGTGCCATACCAGCCAATAAGGGCGGCTTTGAAGAGCAAATGGAAAATAATTCACAAGTGGATTCTGAAGAAAATTCACGTTTGCAATCTGAATATGGTTTTCAAAAGAATTTGATAATTCCAAGTCACTTGTGAGTCACTGTTCTATTTAAGAAATGACAGTTTCTTCTGAATTTGTTTTATTGAACTGATACAATGTAGTAGGTTTTTCTAAGGGAAAACAATCACCCATACCTCCATGCATTGCAATCTATATAATGAAAATAATAAATCGATGGATGTATGGTTTTATACCACTTGTACTTGTAACTAAAGTTACTGCAGTTTCCTCCTACAAGAACATTTTCAAAGTAATACAATAAACTGAAATAACAATGTACACCCTTATATACCTAAACAACCACTTTCAGTAATAACAAATGGTCCTTAATGACTTTTTACCAGAATTTGGGATGAAACTGCAGTAACGTTAGTTACTGTGGTATAAGTATTGTGGTACAAGTGGTATAAAAACAAGTTTCAATAATTCTCATTTTTCATAATAAAAATTATATTTCACGCTTTTGGCAAGAAATTTGTTTCCAGTAATCTGTAAATCTCTATACTAAAGTGTAAATCTCTCAGGTTATGTCATATGTATGTCAATTACTTTCATCATCACTCAATTGATTTGATTTAATTGGGTTTCATTAATGGGAGTAAAGAAAAACAAAATTTCAACTAACAAGGAATGGTATATTTTTTAATCTCTCAACAAAACTCCAACAAATATAGAATTCAATTTCAAAAAAATATTTTTTTTAAGAATAGTCTGTTACATATCAATCTCATTTGAAACCATGGAGTATCACAACGAAAAATATCCTGCAAAAATTTCAATATAGCACTTATTTAGTCTTGTCTATTAACAACCGCCATAGATGGAAGTTATAGAACACCCCAACATGCACATTATGTATTACACACCCATTTATCAAACTCTACTTTCCCACTGTTGCCAGATTGTTGTTAGGATTTTACCTTGCTAACCATGTCGATCTTGTAAGGATAAAAGTAATAGATTTGCTATGTAATTGAACCAATATTTGTGATAGCCATAAAAATGAATTTTGTTTTTATCTTAGCATAAATCATGAAAAATGTAAGTGATATGAGTTGAAACGTAGTTCCAATAGTCGTAAAACACTATTCATTTAGTGATTCATTATTCATTCATTCAAAAGTTATCGTTATTATTATTCCAGAATAAAAGCAGCCCTAGATTAGAACCTTCAGAAACAAAAAAAGTTCAACACTTTCTGAAACCTAGCGAGCTCGATACCTTGCTTTGATTAGTTGGTTCATGCTTTCTATTCGTGAGTCAAGTGCTGTAAGTACATACAAGTATGTCACGTATCTAGAAATCGGATTGTAGTCTGATCAAGTATACTTTATTTAATTGTTCTTGCACTTCTTTTTCACTATATCTTCTATATACACTTATAATGAAGAATTGGAGAAGTTGGAAAATTCCAAGGTCCCCGGTAAAAGTTACCTGGAACGCCTTTCTCAAGATTTTTTTATGAAAAAATCATTTATAGGCATTCTACATCAAGTTTTTATGAGACTGGTATCAAATTAACTGGATTTAGTATTAAAGTATGAAATTAGGAACAGTTGATGTCATTATTTGAAGCTACTTAACTATTTTTACTCATTTTCGATTTCTTGTTTGATTGTATTCTTAATTTCTATGGTATTCAGCGAGAAAAACTAGGACAACTCTGTTTTTAGTCAACGATTTTTGAAGAGGCAAATGAAAAATCTCACTTTTTCATATCAACTGATATTCTGATGTTGGAGGATGAACATTTCTGGTTTAATTTCATCTTTTCAATTATAACAATTGTAAGTCTATATTTTTTATCCCTATAAGAAACTTGGTTTTTTCTAAAAATAGTATATGTTCATCAACTTTTATCGACCACTTCGATGAAAGACATTAAATTGATAACTAAATCGATGAGGCTTTCTATAATTACTCATCACTTTTACATATAGTTTCGAATGTTTTCTTATACATCATTATATTACACTTGTATTTCTATGAGTTATTTTAAAAGTAATTAAGTGTAATTTGTTCCCTTTTATTTCAATATATTTACAATATGTAAAGTTTGAGTTAGCGAATGATGGAATTTGATTGAGGAGAACATAATCCAGACTCGTTGGCCATGCTCGAAAGGAACTTGTAGTAACAATTGTTTCGTCTGCTACTGCGATAGATACCATCAGGAGCAGTGGTGGGATGCCGATGAGAGTTACAGTCTATTCTATATCTAACATTCAAATTTTTGGAATGCTTATGCTTATGAATTTCAATGGTTGTATGTGAATTCATTCAGTTTACTACGGAAAAGGAAAACAACAAAAATATATTATTTATAGATGTACTGGTCAAGAAAAAACTGACAGAAAACTAAGTCATACAGTTCAGCGCAAAGTTACTCATACTTATCGGTATCTCAACAACTCAAATCATCGTCCAGGACAAAAAATAATATATCATTATTATTATTATCAATGAATGGACTGGAATACAACTCCAATCGACATCACACCACCAGTACACCTATCAATAACCTATCAATAAGACCAATCAAAAGTGAGTATTGGACAACCCACCCTACCATCTCCTACAGGTATGAATATAAGTGAACAGCGATCACCCCAGTGTCGCTAAAGAGGCGTAAGCCTATAGCAGGGCCCCTACAATACTATCCTATTTACTCACATTCATCCTGTAGCAAAAATAATCCATAAACGGTTTTCAATTTTGAAATTGATCACCCCAGTGTCCCTGAAGAGGCATAAGCCTATAGCAGGGCCTCTACAATACTATCCTATGTACTCACATTCATCCTGTACCAAAAATAATCCATAATGTTTTTGAATTGATCACCCCAGTATTCATGAAAAGGTATGAGCCTATAGGAGGGACCCTACATGCCAACCAACCTACAAACACTCATTATGTATGAAAGCAATTAATAAACGTTTTTGAATTGAATTGAATCACCCCAGTAAGTCAGTATTACTGGAATCAGCGTATCTGAAGATGTCTGTTGCAGTAGTAGACGAAACTTTTTCATACTACAAGTTCCTTCTAACTACGATCTACCAACCCAGATGTCTTCTCTAATCGTGACACTGACTTTGAAAGCTATGCTCTTATATTGATGAAATTTGAGTTACGACAACAAAGAAATTATTATTATTGAAATGAAATATAATGAAGAGGAATTTTGTATTTCTGACTGAATTGTAAAATATTACAAAATCGCATATTTTATATACATACAGTTTTTTATGTAGACAACAGTTTGCTTGATATTTCAAAAATTGTTCGGAGTATTAGTACCAAATCCGAATTTCTAGTTTATCAGTGAATATTGCCAAATTTTTTATTTTGAAAGTACTATCTCATATATACGGAAGCGCAGAAGGGCCACATATTTTTATTATTTGTTTCTTGGAAATTACGACTTTCAATCTCGAAATTTCGACTTTTATCTCGAAATTTCGACTTTAATCTCGAAATTTCGACTTTTATCTCGAAATTTCGACTTTAATCTCGAAATTTCGACTTTAATCTCGAAATTTCGACTTTTATCTCGAAATTTTGAAATTTCGAGATTAAAGTCGAAATTTCGAGTTTAAAGTCGAAATTTCGAGTTTAAAGTCGAAATTTCGAGATTAAAGTCGAAATTTCGAGATAAAAGTCGAAATTTCGAGATTAAAGTCGAAATTTCGAGATAAAAGTCGAAATTTCGAGATTGAAAGTCGTAATTTCCAAGAAACAAATAATAAAAATATGTGGCCCTTCTGCGCTTCCGTACATATATAACGACTGCTGAGAAAATATCCAACACAAATACTGCTTCCACTCATCAAAACTGCAACGCTCTTTTGAACACCCATTTCACTTTCGAATTTGGCATCATATAAAATGAACTACACTCATGGTGTCGAATAACTTTACTTATATTAGGTTTGTCTTTGAAAGATCTACAGGTTGTTGCTTGTTCAATCTACTATACCTATAAATCACATATACGAGTGTAAGACCGTTTTTTCTTCAAATAATCATTAACAAAAAATATTTGCTGTTACATATAAATTTCTTCAGGCCATTACTTGATTTTAGGAGATGTTTCAAAGCAGGAATGCTCATTTTGAGACATTCTAATGATTGCAGGGAAAGGTGAATCTGTATAGCACCATTCCCAACAATAATTAATTTGGAATCACAATCTCCAAATATTGCTTTCAACGAGTATATCAGGTGGTTTTGAAAGTTTTGTCCGTCTTAATGACGTGTGGTTTCAGAGCATCATATCTCAATAAATATTTATTCTGTTGTGTCGTGGTATACACTGTGTCCAAGATAAGAATGAACAGCATGGGGATATTGGAAACGATGAGTGATACGGTGTCGATTGAGTTAGAAAAAAGTATCGCATTCATGTGCCTGATAATATGCCATTCAGAATGTTTTAATATTCCGAGTAGTTTTGGAGATATCCGAGAATAACCTAAATTTGAGAATTTGTTTTTTACTTTCTCCTAGCTTATTTTCAAAGGCATTGTAAAACAAATAGTACTTTGCCATGGCCACTTTTTAATCGACTTGTGTTACATTGGCAAAATTGCACAGATTCAAATGACACTTATACTGATTGAAATGAATAAGTATTCACCGAGATGTTACAGTTCAAAGCAGACTCATAAGAACGGAAAAAACTTTTGAAACAACCTAATAAATGAAGATATACAAAAAATAATAAACTAGCAAATAGATTAATAGTATTTCCACTGTTTGATAAAAAAAGTAGTAGCCAATTTAGAAAGTTACAGAGGCAACTTTGAGAAATAGAAGAGTCCCTTGAGTAAACTGCTAGATAATATTGTCTTAACCTTATCAACATTAGGAGTATACGATTCGTTTCCAAAATGTTGTTTTCCAGAGATTGGTTTTTTGAATGCAAATGTATTTACGAAAGAAAGACTGTTTTTTCTCAAGTGATGGCCATCCGAGAATGAAAGACTTTCTTCACCCAATGGAATTACTTTATAAAATTCATTAATAATTTATTGAAATTTCAAGTTTACGAATATTCTATACTTTATACTAATGACTAGAACTAATAGCACCTAGAGAAAATGGTCAAAACTGATTTTGAAGTAGGTTTAGTCAAAATTACGTGTAACAACGAAGTGTATTTATCAATCAACATATTGATATCATATTCTTTATACACGAGAAGATAATCTCTAATATTTATGAATTATGGAGAACTTGTACGCGTGTGGTCATCATATACACATTATATTTATTTTTTTGCTTTGTTATTGAGAATGTGGGGTCATGGTTTGTGGAAGAAATCGTATCTGCGTAAAGTTTGGATCGGTGTATGACAAAGAAAGTATTAGGAAAAAAGGAATAGAAACTTTTGCAATTTGGATGTTTACGGCTCGAATAATCTAACAGACTGATAACTGATTTATACACATCTACTGCACATCTTGAGGGAGGGGCTGGTGAGACATATTGATTAATTTTATTTCAATAATTTTATATATACAATCTATATACATGTCATATTTGAAACAAAACGATTTTCAGACAAGGAAAATATTTGAAACAAATTTTTGGTATATCCTGTATATTTAGAGATTGGTGATTTTATCGACTTGTAAATAGTACGCAAGAAGTTATGAAATCTGTTGACAATTATACTTTTTATTGAAATATCATCTTCAGGCATATTCAGTACCAGATGAACTAATGATCCATCACCAGACGGCACTGTTTCGATCCGCCGAAGTCTCAACAGTAGTGCTAGACTAAACAACCCAACTGTCCGAGGGAGGACAGAGGTCCACACGAAAATGCCCTCTATGTAATCGAGAGATGACTCAATTCTCGAATGTCAAAGATTAGCGAGGCTCCTCTGTCTTTGAGGATTGAGTCACCTGTCGATCACGTAGATGGCGTCTTCATAGGGGGATATGTTATCGCCTTTATATTTGGTACCAACTAACTCAATTTATCGAAACACGTGTCGAGGTGTAAAAATAACGATTTGGTGTTGGGAAAAAACTCCAGTAATATTCACCAAATAATTGTTAGAATTAAGTATAGGAATGAGCTACATTGTCAACAGACCTATTTATATGTGAATGTCTTCTGAATAATCTTATGAAATGAATTGGATTGAAGGAAAATAGTCAATATCGTTTCTTTTTGGGAAATAATAAAATTGAAAATTAAAATAAATAACTGAAAATAAGCAAAAACCCTGAAATGAAATTGCAATAAAATGAAATACAACCAAAAAATTGAGGATTGAAGAATGGAAATAAATAAATGAAAATCAAAAGGGTTCAAGCGAAGTAACTTCACGACGTTTCGATTTTTAGTATCCACAATCGTCTTCGGGTGATGATAAACCCTCGTCATTTGACCTGAAAGATCAGTTTATCAGTTTCCGAATAAACTAACCGTCTTTGAGAAAATAAGGGGATTATTTAGGTGTGAGAAACAATGTGAATTGTGAATTGGTGTGAGAAACAATAAATCCTCTTGGGGTCCACTGGAAAGTTGAATAAGCGCATTGAATTGAAAACTAAATGTAACAAATGTACGAAGGATTATTACTTTGTGTAAAGTACTCCTAATATTTTAAACAAAACAGAGCCGATATAACAAGTTTTCATAAAAAGAAATCGAAGAAACTCTTGAAGATAAAGAAAAATTAAATGTATGAGAAGTTATCTAGAGAAGATGAAAAATTCACTTAGTTATACGAAGGAAAAAATGGTTTTTAATGTGTCACTGCATGAGAGCACGTATCCAGAGCAAAGGCAGGGGTTATTTTCTCTAAACGCTGGAAGTGTATAGTAGCACTATCAGCGATTACATTTTTGACTAAACCTACTGCGAAAAAAATTCAAACAGACGTTGTAATTTGTTCTATCACTTGAATATTCCTAATAATTGGCCTCCTGTGTGTTCTGCAGTATTCCCACCTCGCCAGACCTTCTGGCATACTCTTACTAGGCCTCAGCGCTGATCCAGTTTTGACCCTCGGCAGCGAGGAGTATCTAATTACGTCTTGCTTTCCACAAGCAGAATGCGGATGATAAGCAGAACGATCAATGTTCGCAGCATAACTAATACTCTTTGGAAGATACTGGTAGTGAAAATCTCTTTTAGGTTTGTAGCAGTGTCTGTGGAAGCTGGCTCTCTCAAAGTTGTCGTGGCCGTTGGCGAATATCCGCTGGCACTGGTTGATTCCCTGTCTGTAGAAGGTGCATGGAGGGGTATCTGAGGTATATATAGGGTTGTAAGGACCTATAGGACACACACATTCGTTCAGGTTGAGGTTGGTGATGGAACAGTTGTTCATATTGCAGTTGTTCGAGTTGCTGGCGACGATTGGATTGTGATCTTTCCTCGTTCCTACGAGGAACATCAGACCTGCACCTGGAAATTGCAATATGGTAGCTTTGATTTAACTTATATTTAATTTATATGTACGTATAGTTCGGGTGGAATCTTTCAGTTTTTACCTATTTTCAATCGATTTAACTATAATTTTTCATACACATGTTTACGATGGCTGACAAGTGACGTCATTTTATATCCAATATGGCGAAATGATTTTAAATTATGCATACCTTACTACAAACGTAGTCCCTTCGAATCTGATAAGGCGGACCGCCCCAATAGGAGACTAGTTTTTTATGCACCTTCATGGTAGGAGTATCAAATGAAAAGGTTTCTTGAAAATAAAATCAAAAACAATATGAAATCAGAAGATTCATCTGATGGAGTAGTGAACACAGTCTCTTCAAAAAGTCAGATTCAGAGTTTTGCCCTTCGATTCAGGGGTCATGCGCTTCAAGACTAACTTTTAGAAGGTTTCCATGATGACGTTAATATAATTAATGAAAAACTTTTTTTTAAGGACAAAACACAAGCACTACAGGAAAATCCTTAAGGCGCTCTAAGAGCGGTGCCTGTGCGAAACTAGTGATTCACATTGGATTTGAATGGCTGGTGATTGAATTCATTTGTAAAAATGTTTTCAGGAAGTTTATTCCACATCGACGCAGTTCTACAGATGAAAGAGTTCTTGAACAGTGAAATTCGAGGTGTGCTGAGTTGAACCTCAAAACGATAAGTAGTCACACTCCGTCGCGTGTTTCTTATATGTACCGCTCTTGATGAAATCAAATGTGCCAAGTCATTTGAACACTTCCTGTGAATGTATCTATAGAAGAGAGACAAATCTCCAACCTTTCTTCGGACTCTCAAGGTTGCAAGTATGCTGTTCGCGGCTCCAATCAGGTGGATGGCTCTTGCTGGATGGAGTCCAGCAGCTTCAGGGTATGCTTAGGGTATGAGAACAGTACTCCAAGGAAGGTCTGGTTACTTTCACTCCAATTCGAAATTACTTCTAGATCCTAATTCAGACATGCAACCTCCTACTGCCGGTGAAGATGTGCATCCGCTGCCGATGTCCTGAAATGACGAAACAAGTGTGCTGTCGCCAGCAAAGCAAAATATTTGATTATTGGTTTCTCTATTGATATGCAAAAGAAAGCGAGTTGGAGACAATATAAATCCCTGGGGATATTCGTCGACGGCCACTTGCAGGAAACGTTCTTTCAGGAAACTGAAGAGCTACACACAAAAATGATCCGACAAGCCATAGCTTCATAGTTTGGCCAGCAAACGCTAATGCCACACACGGTCAAAAACCTTAGAAATATCAACCGCTACAGCTCTTTACTCTCCATGTTTCTCGATTGCGTTATTCCAAATATGGGTAACATACGATAGAAGGTCGCCTGTTGAACTTTGTTTCCGAAAGCCATATTGATGATCGCTTAAGATGTTGACGGAGATTGACGAAAAATTGAGCGACAGCGAAAAAGCACAAGAATCATTGCTGAGATATTCGAGTACCTATACATAACTGTAAGATTCTAGATAATTTCGTTGGTCAAATAAAATCCACGATGGATTGCACACAATGTGGTCACTCATCAGTAACCTTCGATTCTCTCTGGGAATTGTCACTCCCCATATCACAAAGAACTGGCCAATTGAGTTTGTCACAATGCTTGAATTCCTTCGCAAGAGAGAAAACTTTGGATGGACATGAAAAACTGACGTGCTCGAGTTGCAAGGAAAGAAGTTTTCCCGTATTATGGTTATTCATTTCAAAAGATTCCCTCTAACGGAAAGATTTAGAGATTAGATATGAGCGATTATGCAGCAGACAATGTGACTCATTGTCGTTATAATCTAAATGCACTTTCGAATCACACTGGGTCTACTTACAGTGGATATTACATAGCATGCTGCAGATATACCCACACTGGCACGTGATACAAGGATTCACATGTGTCACCAAATTCATCAAAATCGCCTGTGAGTGAAGAGGCATACGTCCTCTTTTATGGAAAGGAGGAAACGGGTTCTCACCTTTGAGGTACCTGAGAGGATGTTTCTTTCAGCGTTTTGAAAAGTTATTATTGACGTGTTAATTATAGTATAAAACTCTAAATACAATATGGCGGAGCGTCCAAGATGGTGGATTAGTTATTTTTTGCACTTCCATGATATGGATGTCAAACAAAAGGGTTTGCTGAAAAAAATAAGAAAAATAAAATGACAGTAGTTTAAATCCAATATGGTGGGCTTTCAAAGATGTTAGACTGCTTTTTGTGTAACCTTATAATATGGGCACTGAATGGAAGCATCAAAGATCATTATATGAAAAATTCTAGATCAACCCAGAATAGTGGAAACTGTTCAAGAGTCATTCTACAAGATTCCAGAATATACCTCAAATTTATGAATTGTTTTGGAATTTTCTGGATTGGTCTGGAACATTCCGGAATATTACGAAACATCTCAGTGCATTGTGCAGCATTTCAGAATAGCCTCGAATGCTATGGAATATTCTGGAACATTGTGGACCATTCGAAGTCTTTTTTGTAGGGGGTGGGGCTACTCATTGGTAGAGGTTTTGGTAGAAGTTTATCTTTTTATTCCAACCATCAAACAAGCTTATATCAACAACCTCAGCGAAGCCAAGTACGGCGGATAATGATAATGACCTTTGATAAAATTCACACAAACAGAAGTATGCTATCAGTTTTAATTTTGAAGTAGGTTTGATAGTTGATCATTCTCCTTCATACCAGAAAAAGCTATCAGGAAATTTGTGTTTTGAAATGTAAATAACATAATTTATCTGGTACCTTTGGGAAATATTATATACTATATTTGCACGATCAGAAAAACAAAATATAGTTCACAAATCCTCTAATTACCGATTTATGAAATCAATTAGATACTTGTATATGATGTTTGATACAAATCTGGTTATAGCTGGTATCAAACATTTAATTGCCTACCACTCCAGCTTCTGGAAGATCTGATCAAAGGACATCAAAATGATGTTTCGATTACTGTGTTCTTTTCGTTTCCGTCTTTTAATCTGTTTCGGAATTACTGTAATTCCTCATGAGATTATCTGATACCGGATAATAATCCAACAGGGAGTATGAGACAGTATAAGTCTCAGATGCATCCGTCGAAATTATTGGCTGCTCCAACGTTTTCTAGTTCGCAATCGCACAACTAAAATAAGTTCTTTCCACGGAAAACGTTGCTGGCACATACAGGGTCTATCTTGACGAGTTAACGCGATCTATATATATATAGAAAACTGAAAGTAGGGCGATTCTGAAAATTGATAGGATAGGATAGGATGGATAAAGAACTAATGGAGAATTCAACTGAAATATTTTCGTTGAGGTGACATTTCGGCTTTCACCGGAAGTGACGTCATCTTTATTATTTGTAAAGGCACACCCTGTATTTTACAGCATTTTTTAATTCTTCCCATGATTTAGATTCCAACTCATGCATCATACTCTATACCCAAAATGAACCGTTTTCGAGTTATTCGAGTTTTTTTAGAAAAAGTGACAGATGCAGCTTCTCGAATATACGTCATTTTCACGTAAATTAACGTTTTTAAAAATATGCAGCTAGTGAATCGTGATAATTGAAGGTTGAACGGATCACGCATCATTCTCACGTCCACTGAATAATCCACCGGGTGCGCAAAAATTAGGGTCCAATAAGTGAATGGAAACCCCCATTTTTTTTCTCAAGGTTCAATTCTATTATGAAGATAAGTCCTAGTTATGATACACTTCCCTATACCCAAAACTTATAATTTTGGTGATATTCCGCAATAGAAGTTATTTTCACGCGATAATTTACGTTTTTACCCCCCCCCCATTTTGTCCGATAAAATTTCTTTGTTGCCTAGTTTCCCTTGAATATCTCATGAAAAATAATCCCATATTCAAGACAAAAATCATGATTAGAATAAACAACAATTTCAAATTTGGTTTCAATGCTAAACAAGAACATGTGACACTTTGGTCAACCGCTTTTTTTATTGCAACCAATGTTCAAATACATTGCCTCCAACTTTTAAGCATTTTACACTTCTCCGTATGACGTCTCCTACAGCTCCGTCTTATCATGTCCGATGGAATAGAGTTGGAAGCAGTACGAACTCTCTGCTGAAAATCTTCTTTTGTTTTTGGTGAGTTAGAATACACCTCGTTTTTTATATAACCCCAAATAAAAAAATTCATTGGAGTTAAATCGGGCGATCGCGGTGGCCATAATTGAGGACCGTCGGTTCCAAACCACTGGCCGTAATAAGTTTCTTCTAAATACATCTACACCATCTGATGATTATGTGGAGGTGCTCCATCATGTTGATATCAAATTTTTCGATGGTCAGCGAGCGTCAGTTTTTCCAAATAATCCGTATCGAGATTTTTTAAAATACCTAGGTATCGTTCACCTGAAAATAAAAATACCTGTTGGTCTGTTATTTATTTTCTAGATGCTATGAATGTTTATTACATAACTATCTTGATGTCATTTTCTTCAGTGATGTATTTTAATTTTTTTTTTAATCAATGAAACAATAAAATTACGATACTTTTCAACTAACCATTTAAATTTTTGTCATAGAAGTGAAGCATCACTATTGCGAAGTCTTTAACTGCGCAGTAAACATTGAAATTCCAACGGTCTTGAAACTGACGTTCCCGAACTGAATGCGGGTTTGTATCGCTCCAGTAGAGAGAATTCCTATTGTTGAATAACCCACTTTTGGTAAATTTCGCTTTGTCGCTCCATATGATATTCCTCAAAAATTGGTCATTTTCTTGATTTGTCATAATGGAGAACTCCGCAAAGTTAATTCTTCTCTCATAATCGGATAGCTTCAGGCCATGGACTAAAGTATGAGAATACGGATACTATTTATATTTTGCTAATATTCTCTGCATGGACATTTTATTTAATCCCAAATCTCGTGCCGCATCTTTCAAAGATGCTTCTGGAGAAGCAGTGAAGTACTCAAGCACTGTAATGGCATTATCTTCATTGTCAACCACCGTTTTAGTTTTGATAATTTTCTTTTCGAATGATTCAAAGTTCGTGAGATTGAAGATTAATCTTCTAATGATATCTGGAGATGATTTCGATTTTTCTGGATACCTTGTAGCATAAGTATCACATGTTCTTGTTAACACTTTATTGCATTCGCCATAAATCACCAATAAGTTAAAGAAATCGTGATTATTATAAGCAGCACGAGCCATATTGTACCTTCTGAGAGCACGAATCTGACAATAAACAACTTTATTTCATTTGTCACCAAACATTGTGTTGAAAGATGGACAGCAGCCTACGAGAAATATCAACATTTCGGGAAAGTATGTAAATATAATGGAATGTCTCCAAAATTATAAGTTTTGGGTATAAGGAAGTGTATCATAACTAGGGCTTATTTTCATAATAGAATTGAACCTTGAGGAAAAAAATGGGGGTTCCCGATTGAAAAAGTTGAGATTTTTTATTTTTCTCATTCACTTATTGGATCGTAGTTTTTGCGCACCCTGTGAATTATTCAGTAGACGTGCAAATGATGCGTGATCCGTTCAACCTCAAATTATCACGATTTACTAGCTGAAAATTTTAAAAAACGTTAATTTACATAAAAATGACGTATGTTCGAAAGGCTGCATCTGTCACTTTTTCTAAAAAAACTCGAATAACTCGAAAACGGTTCATTTTGGATATAGGGTATGATACATGAGTTAGAATCTGAATCATGGGAAGAATTCAAAAATGAGGTGAAATACAGAATGTGCCATTAAAAATAACAAAGATGACGTCACTTCTGGTGAAACTCGAAACGTCACCTCAACGATAATATTCCAGTTGAATTCTTCATTAGTTATTCACTCATCCTACCAATTTTCAAAATCGCCCTACTCTCAGTTTTCTATATATAGATTGCGTTAACTCGTCAAGATATACCCTGTATATTTTTACACTAACTGAAACAATTCATTGTAAGATATTCACTGTAACGGTTTTGAAAAAACCATGACATGTTGCATCCTCAGGCGAGAATTATGAATTACTTATACAGGGTGTAACTGAATGAGTGTAAAACATTTAAGAAGGTGATTCCTCATCGAAAAAAAGATAGGATCTTTCATATAAAGAAACTTCATTGGAGCATCCCTTGTTAAGATACAGCCCCTAAAAGGGGGACATAAAATTTGTATAACAATTTTTTTCACAAGCACTGAAAAAGTTACAATATTGAAATTAAACTGATGTTTTGTACTACCAAAAAGACACTTAGCCAGAAATTTATTTGGTTTACCCCATGGTTGTAAGAGGTGGAAAACGCAACCCCTAAAATTTATTTCCAATGTAATTTTTTGTCTTATTATTTGTTTAACATTTCCAATAGCCTGTTTCATTCTCAACAAAAAATGTCTCTTGGGTTTTTTGCCCAAAATAAACAAGTTCGTAGCAAAACATTATTTTATGAACAACTACAGGGATACATCGTCATAAATGCGAACTGCATTTATCGTTATTTTGTAGTTAGTACCTGCATTAAACGAATAAAGGGTAATAAACAAAACTAATTTATTAATAACAAAACACACAACATGTAGAAATCATAGTACATGTTCAATATGTCTACCTTCAGACATTACGCATGCGTCTAGACGTCGGCGCATTGAGCCACGTATTCGCTCAAATATTCCTGGAGTCTCTCTGATTACCCTGCACGCATCGATGATGCGGTTTCTTAAGTCCTCTTCATCGCGAACAGGAGTACGGTAAACCAAATGCTGTAAATGGCCCCAAATAGAGAAATCGAGAAGATTGAGATCCGAGGATCGAGCAGGCCAATTCTGTGGTCCTCCACTGATTTGCACATGTTTCAGGTAAATGCTGACGTGCTACTTGACTAAAATAGGCGAGAGCCCTATCATGTATAGACAACATATCCCTTCTGACGCCCAAAGGAACTTCCTCCAGCAGTACTGGATGCACTTCTCTTAAAAATTGAACGTAAGCCTCACCATTTAATCGAGGTACGTCAGGTTAATTTCAATATTGTAACTTTTTTAGTGCTTGTGAAAAAAATTGTTATACAAATTTTATGTACCCCCTTCAAGGGGCTGTATCTTAATAAGGGATGCTCCAATGAAATTTCTTTATATGAAAGATCCTTTTTTTTTTCGATGAGGAATCACGTCCTCAAATGTTTTACACTTATTTAGTTACACCCTGTATTCTCAAACATTTTATACTCTACAATATCCGTTAGTACCCACGATCCAATGAAAAAAAAGAATCAATTCATATAACTGGAAGATCAAACATAGTTCATTATTTGAACTCTAGTCCAGGTTAATGTCATTGATTGAACTACGTATGATTTCCTGATTAGGACAGATTAAGCAGAAGGAAGTTATTCAAATCAACTGGTCATTCATTACATATTGGGGATTTTTGAAAATATGTCTATATCTTTTCAATCTTTCTTCAGGAAATACAGAATTCTGAATTAATGACTGAACTCATATCCCATAGAGGGACGTCACTAGCATGTGTTACATTCAATTTTTCATTGTGAAAACTTGTTTCTATGTTTTTATGCATAAATGGTTATGATAACAATCTAGCAATTTTTTTATTGTTTAAAAAAACTATACAGTCAAGCCAAGGAGGGGGATTTACATGGATGTCATGTGGATTGGTATTCGACAATTTTGTTTGTTTACGTACCGATTCACCCAGAAATGTGCCTCTTTGCTGAAGACGATTTTTTAATGAAAATTAGGGCGTCAGCGAACATACGTCATTGTCTATAGCCGTTTACCTTCAGTTCCTAGGTCAGTTGAATTCTGTACGGGTGCTGGCCTAAGTCGCGATGCAAAATTCGGCGAATTGTGGTCTGTGAAAGGTCAAGTTCTTGTAAGCGAGGCGAAATCGACTGCTTCGGATTCTCCGGCACACTCTCACAGACATGGGCGATGTTTTCTGTAGATCTTGCGTTTCGCTGACGTACGGGTGTTGGTAGATCGTTGAAACTGAACTAGTTGACCCAAATTCATTGACCACATCGCGAATAGTCCTCTCGGTAGGCCGATTATGGCGACCGTAAAATTGGCGAAACGCGCGATACGTTGCACAAATAGAACACCCATTTTGATAAAACGATTTGCTGTTGAGTACGTTGTTGAATACGTCCATGCTGATTTGGCAAAACAGAGTGAATAAATGACAAGTGATTTGACAGATGTAGCTTCAGCAAGATGGTCGTTATCAATGGTCAAAGTTTGGAAGTCCCTGTTGGAAGACCTTATATAAGTTATCCATCATTCCCCCATGGGAAAGCTATCGTATAGCGAAATGCGTGTCATGGTTTCTGTGAAAGTCCTAATCTTACAGGAAATTGTATCAATTAATGTCAGTATCGATTTTCTTCAAGCATCAGCTAATTCTACCTAACATGTATTTTCTTTTCGCTTATTGCATCATTCAATGAAATGAAGCGAATTTAATTGACTGTAATGTTATTTTAGTGATGTAAATCATCAAGGAATTATATTAACGAAATCATGATTATATGTACCCCAAACATCACTCACCTATTATCGTTGTAATAAAGCTGAAATAGTAACCAGCCTTTGGGTAACTTTGGTTGATGTAACCAGTGATTGGTATCCCTATCAGCACCGGCAGTGAATTTGCACCCTGAATGAAACTCCAGGCTTTGGTGAAATGTCGTCCTTTGATACGCTCTAGAGTAAACATTTTTAAGGAGTACGTGAATCCACCAAGGCATATGCCGTAAAGCCAGACGAAGAGTACATATCCATGATATCCTTGAACTGCACTCAGTGCAAGGAGGGATATTCCTGAAAAGACATGGAAGTAATATTTGAAATTGAATTGAAAGTATAAACTGTTCCCCCCATATAAAACGTATTATATGATATATACATTATACAATGTGGGCTAATGAAGATACAGTAAGGCCGTTGTCGTTTAGAAAAGCATCTGAAAAAACAAACCCTCAAATGAAATGATTGGAAACGCAGCTATAAAAGTTACTATTCTACGTTTGATATCAATCATCCTGAAGAATTTCAAAATCTAATAAATCCTACTCATATAGAATTAATCTTATGCAGAAATTAAATGTAGTTGTTTAATTTTGCTAATTAAGCTTGTCGCCTACTTTTCCGGCCCAGCACAGCACGGCGCTGCCCGTCGGTTTATGGCAAATCAGGGAGAGTTTCATCATCTTTTCAACGACCTGAAAGAAGACGAGAAGAAATTTTTTCAGTATTTCCGAATGACTCCAGGCAAATTTTCAGAACTTCTGGATATTCTAGAGCCTGCCTTAACAAGCAAGTCAATTTCTACTCGTACATTTTCATAGATACCGTCTGACACTGTGCTGTCAACTGATGGAAAAGCATAACAGAGACAGAAACTTCTCAGGCACGACTGAACAAGTTGATGCCGGCAAGCGCTGGCCGGCGACGCACTTACTTGGCCAGTCCGTCACAGCACGTACCGTTATTTGCCGGACAGGATCGGACACTGGAATCCTTTCCGGCGGCGGACGCTCTTGGCTGTGCAGTGCCGGGCCAGTGGGCGGTTGTCCATTCATTTTCATTGTTCCAATCCTATCCGTATGTTCACGAGCCGGGCCGTGCTGTGCTGTGCCGGACAAGTGGGCGACAAGCTTTATTCAGTGAAGTGATAATAAATAATCCAAATTGGTGTTAAAATGGGTGTGAGTTTATTTTCATCGGGTCTGTTAAGCTTGTCGTCTACTTGTCCGGCCCAGCACGGCGCTGTCCGTCGCCTGATGGCGACGGGTAGTAGCATCGCCCACTTGTCCAGCTACAACCAGTATATTGAAGGTGCTGTTTGTTCGATTTCAAGGGAATTCCAGTTGACATCGAGCGGTAACAAAAACTTGTCTATCACTAGCAGTTCTGACGAAGAAGAGGTCATTATAGAAGCAGCATCATTGAATGTAGAAGATAATATTCACAAAAAAGAATGTTGTGGGACCATCACATTATTTAAAAGAGGCAAATCTGGGAGAGTTTCATCATCTTTTCAAAGATCTGAAAGAAGACGAGGAAAATTTTTTCCAGTATTTCCGAATGACTCCAGACAAATTTTCAGAACTTCTGGATATTCTAGAGTCTGCCTTAATAAGCAACTCAATTTTTCCTCATTCATTTCCATAGGTACTATCTGACACTCTGCTGTGAACTGATGGAATAGCAAAACAGAGAGACAGAAACTTTCCAGACACGTTTGGACAAGTTGATGCTGGCAAGCGCTGGACGGCGACGCGCTCACTTGGCCAGTCCGTCATAGTACGTAACGTTATTTGCCGGACAGGATGGGAGAGCTGGAATCCTTTCCGGCGACGGATGCTCTTGGCTGTGCCGTGCCAGGCGTGGGCGGTTGTCTATTCATTTTCATTGTTCCAATCCTATCCGTATTTTGACGGGACGGGCGGTGCCGGACAAGTGGGCGACAAGCTTAATCGTCGTAAATGATAGTATTGATCCGACAGAAATCTTTAACTACGATGATTTTTTCGTAATGATGGATTTCATGCTTGCTTTTACATCTCTGATGGGATCTATTCGATGATCGAAACAATACTGTTTTTGAGTTCTGGTTCCATCCAAGTATAATGAGAACAAGATGACTCTGCCAGGGAAGAAAGAAACAATACCTGTGAGAATGTCTATCTTCTCTTTTAATAAAAAAGTGCAGTAGTTCGCAAGGTTGATGAGTAGACAAATTTTGAATATCAATTTCTTCATGCTGATTTTTCATTAATTTATAAGTTTCTTCTTGGTACTTAGTGCATCGGATTTGAAAAATCACGAATCGTTGGAAAAATCTTTCATGATTTTTCAAGTGGAGTTTAGTATGAGATCTAATTCCATTTGGGATTTGGATTTCACCCCGTCAAGAAATGAAAGTCTAAAATTGAAGTGATTTGTTATTGCATGAAAACAGTCTATTCGCCATATAAAACTTGTTTTTATCCACTCAACAGAATAGCTCACGCACTTGTCAAATTACATAGACTACTCTCAAATGCATATGTATTTGAGTAAGGCCGATGAAATCTTCTCTGACGAAGACGCCATCCGTGGGTACAACAGAGAACCAATCCTCGAATATCAAAGATAAACGAGGCCCTCCGAGGCGGACAGTTTCAAATCCAATCTTCGACATCGTCCTCAGTATTTTACTAGGTACTGCTTTAACAACTTAACATATGTTGAAAAATTGGAAATGTGTATACTAATTTTGTAAAGTTATACAGGGTGTCTCTGGACTTCCTCTTTTCCTCTCGGGAATGTATAGATGGGGTCAAAATATCACCAGTACTTCATATAACTTTTTTTCCTAAAAGTCTTCGTAACCAAGTTACGGGCCCTCGAAGTTACAAAATGAAAAATGTTTTTCTTTGATAACTTTTCAAGTGAATATTCAAAATCAT